AGAAGTTCAGTGTCGCTGGCTCAACTTCCTCCTGCCTTCTTTCGTCATACGTCGCCAGGATGATTTGTAGTTAGGCCGTCCTACACACCAACAACAACAGTGTGACTTAGAGTGTGTATCTTGATCACTCTGAGCCTCAGCGTCCTGGGCCATAAGGAGTTACCAGACTATGAAGGTTGTTGGGAGGACTAAGTAAGACAGTGCAAGTACCTGACACCGATGTAGTCCCTGATGTTTATCATTATTAAATACCTACTGGGTATGAGTGGGCGTAAGAGTGCTCTCCTTCAATTTTTCATCGACCATTTGTTTATACAATAACTCACTCATTCAATCAATATTTATTGAGCTTTTAGGAGATGTCAGGCACTGAGCTTGGTGCTGGGTGACACAATGGTGAGCAGCGCTTACTCTCAGAGCCCAGACCTAATTCATAGTCTCGTATGGTGTTACCTTTCCAGACTGTGGGGCACAGTGGAGGAATCTTTATTTTAATTAATTAATTAGTTAATTGATTTATTTTTATTGATTTCAGAGAGAAAGGGAGAGGGAGAGAGAGATAGAAAAACATCAGTGATGAGAGAGAATCATTGATTGGCTGCCTCCTGCATGCCCCACACTGGGGAGCAACCCCACAACCCAGGCATGTGCCCCGATCAGGAATCGAACCATGACCTCCTGGTTCATAAGTCGAAGCTCAACCATTGAGCTGCAATGGCCAGGCAGAGTAGTGGGGTCTTTAGATGCAGTGCAGGGACAGGGTGCTAAAGCACACCGCATCACTCACCTAGACACTGTTATTGCTTTGGTTACCTTCTATCCTCCCATCCAGGAGAGAGTCCCAGTTGGATGCTGGTGTGTCTTTAACCTTCCTTTAAGTTAATTGTTCATCTCCTTTCTTAACAAATAAAAGAAGGCCCAAATGCAGCTGTTTTGGGCGGTGGCAAGATTTGGAGAGATTTAATAGTATGGATACCTCCTGCTATTCAAAATCAGAAACCAGATAGACTATATATTTTTCTCCAGATGGTGCACAAATATGACCAGCATTTGTGAAGATGGGTCAAGAGTAAATGAAGTTGAGGAAATACTAACCTTATTAAATCTCCCTACCCAATGGTTTCACAGGTAAATTTTACCAAACATTCAAACTAAAAATATTTAAGATGAATAAAGACTCTCAAGCTCATTTTATGAGGCCAGCATTATCCTAATTCCAAAACCAGATAAAGAAATTACAAAGAAAGAGAATTACAGGCCAATATTCCTGATGAACATAGATGCTAAAATCCTCAACAAAATATTAGCAAACTGGATCCAGCAATACATTAAAAAGGTCATACATTATGTCAAATGGGATTTATTTCAGGGATGCAAGGTTGGTACAATATCCACAAATCAATAAACTTGATACACCACATAAACAAAATGAAGGATCAAAACCACATGATCATCTCAATAGATGAAAAAAAGCATTTGATAAAATCCAGCACGCATTTGTGATTAAAAACTCTCAGCAAAGTGAGAATAGAGGAAACATACCTCAACATAATCAGGCCATGTATGACAAGCTCACAGCTAACACCATACTCAATGGGCAAAGCTATCAGCATTTCCCTTAAGAAGAGTACTTTCACCACTTTTTAAAATTTTTTTTATATGGAACGCTTCACGAATTTGCGTTTCATCCTTGCGCAGGGGCCATGCTAATCTTCTCTGTATCGTTCCAATTTTAGTATGTGTGCCGCTGAAGCGAGCACTCACCACTCTTTTTAAAAAATATATTTTTATTGATTTTCAGAGAGAGGAAAAGAGAGAGAGAAACATCAATGACGACAGAGAATCATTGATCGGCTGCCTCCTGCACACACCCTACTGGGGATTGAGTCCACAACCTGCGCATGTACACTGACTGGGAATCGAACCCTAACCTCCTGGTTCATGGGTCCATGCGCAACCACTGAGCCACACTGTCTGGGCCTTTCACTACACTTATTCAACATAGTACTGAAAGTCCTAGCCATAGCAATCAGACAAGAAGAAGAAATAAAAGGCATCCAAATTGGAACAGAAAAAGTAAAACTGTTCTTATTTGCAAATGACATGATACTGTATAACGAGAACCTTACAGATTTTACAAAAAGCCTACTAAAACTGATAAATGAATTCAGTAAAGTAGAAGAATACAAAATTAATACCCAGAAATCAGTTGCATTTTATACACCAATAATGAACTATCAGAATTAGAAGCTAAAAAACAATCCAATTTACATTTGCTTCAAAAAAATACCTAGAGCCCTGTTAGAGCATTGGCCCGCACACCAAAGGGTCTTGGGGTCAAGGGCATATACTTGGGTTTCAGCTTTGATCCCCGGCTGGTTAGAGTGTGTGTGGGAGGCAACCAGTTGATGTGTCTCTCTCACATCAATGTATATATATATATATCTCCCATTCCCTTTCTCTTTCCTACTCTCTCTAAAAATCAATGGAGAAAATATCCTCAGGTGAGAATTAACAAAAAATAAAAACAAAAACAATACCTAGGCATAAATTTAACCAAGGATGTAAAAGACCTGCACTTGGAAAATTATAGGACGCTGAAGAAAGAAACTGAAGAAGGAAACTAAAGAAGATACAAATAAGTGGAAGCATATACCATGTTCATGGACAGGAAGAATTATCATTAAAATATCCAAAGTACCCAGAGCAACCAATAGATTCAATGCAATTCCTATTAAGATATCAATAGTGTATTCCACAGAACTAGAACAAATATTCCAAACATTTATTTGGAACCACAAAGGACTCCAAATAGCCACAGCAATCTTTAGAAAGAAGAACAAAGTTGGAGTAATCACACTACCAGAACTCATACTATACTATAAGGCCATAGTAATCAACAGCATGATACTGGCATAAAAACATACATATAGATCAATGGAACAGAATGGAGAGCCCAGAAATAAACTCACACTTTATAGTGAATTAATACTTGACAAAGGAGATAAAAACATACAATGAGATAAAGATAGTGTATTCAATAAATGGTGTTGGGAAAATTGGACAGATACAAAAGAATGAAACTAGACTATCTTCTTACACCATACAGAAAAATAAACCAAAAGTGGATCAAAGACTTAAATGGTAGACTGAAAACCATAAAAATTCTAGAAGAAAGCACAGGCAGTACAATCTTGGACATTCTCATAGTAATATTTTTTTCTGATATATCTCCTTAAGCAAGGCAAACAAAAGAAAAAAATAAACAAATGGAACTACACCAAACTAAAAAGTCTTTGCACAGCAAAGGAAACCATCAACACAATGAAAAGACAACCCACTGAATGGGAGAACATATTTGCCAATACATAGGGCTTAATATCCAAAATTTATAAGGAACTTATACAATTCAACACGAAAAACCCCCCAAACAATTCAATTAAAATACTGGCAGAGGACCTGAATAGATATATCTCCAAAGAGGGCATACAGATGGTCAATAGACATATGAAAAGATGCTGAATATCACTGATCATCAGAAAAATGCAAACCACAATGGGATATCACCTGTCAGAATGGCTAGCATCAACAAATCAAAAAACAAGTGTTGTCCAGGATGTGAAGTAAAGGCAATGCTCATGCACTGCTGGTGGGAATGCAGACTGGTGCAGCCACTGTGGAAAGCAGTATGGAGTTTCCTCAAGAAAATTAAAATTGGAGCTGCTTTATGACCCAGCAATTCCACTTCTGGGACTATATCCAAATAAATCTGAAACACCAATTCAAAAGAATATGCACCCCTATGTTCATTGCAGTGTTATTTACAATAGCCAAGATTTGGAAAAGCTGGGGTGCATGTACACAATGGAATACAACGTGGCCAGAAAAAAGAAGGAACTCTTACCTTTTGTGACAGCATGGATGGACCTAGAGAGCATTATGCTAAGTGAAATAAACCAGCCAGGGAAAGACAAGTACCGAAAGATTTCACTTATATGTGGAATTTAATAAACAAAATAAACTACCAAATAAAGTGGACACAGATGCATGGATACAGGGAACAGACTGGCAGCTGTCAGAGGGAGGGGGCTGGGGACAGGGTGAGAAGGGTGAAGGGATTAAGCAAAATAAAAGACTCGTGGACACAGATAACAGTATGGTGATTGACAGAGGAAAAGGAGGGTTGGGGAGGTAGAAGAGGGTAAAGCAGGGATACAAGGTGACGGAAGGAGACGACTTGGGGTGGTGAACACACAGTACAATATACAGATGATGTGTTGTAGAGCTGTATATCTGAAATCTGTATAATTTTATTAACCAAAGTCACTCCAATAATTTCAATAAAAACAAATAAATCTCCCCTCCCCATTAGTCCCTTTTACAGTTGAGGAAGTTGAGTCTCTCTGGAGGGGATGGACAGAAGGTAGGAAGTCCTCTCCTAATTTGCTGGGTAAGTAAAGCCAAGAATTCTCTTTGTGGTGGAGTTAGATATATATAACCTAACGATGTCTCCTCCCCTACCGCTGCAGTACGTGTGTCTAAGTGTGTGGAGCCACAGGCCTCCCTGAATGTGTGACAGCGGGAACCCAGGAGACACTTGCAGAATGACCAACGGGATGGATGGGGGGGGGGGGGGTTGGATGAGTACCAGTCTCTGCAGAGGTCTGGGCGGAACCCATGGAGCCCACCCTATCCACCCCCCATTCCCAGCCCCCGTTGGCCCTTCCGCTCTCCTCCCGCGTAGCACTCTCAGTGCACATCTCCTTAACGCCACCCAGGGCCGAGGACGGGTGAGGGGCGAGGCTGGAGTCGGAAGACCGCAGGTTGCAGTCCCAGCGCTGCAGAGCTGCGGCTGAGCTAGCTTCCCCGCGAGGCCCGCAGCCGCTGGGTGCCAATATGTAAAGCAGCGGAGGGGCGGGGCCTGCGCGCAATGCAAACGAGGGGGCGTGCCGGCCCTGGGCTCCGCCCCCACCCCCCGCAGCTGGGACCAGCGGTGCCGAGCGCAGCTGGCCGAGCGCGGCAGCTGGCGAGTGACAGCCGCAGCTCCGAGCGCGCGGCCGCCCGAGCCGCGCAGGGAAGCGCCCCGGCTCGGCAGCAGCGGCCGCCTTCCCCGCGCCTCCCGGCCGCAGCCGGCGCCCCGCGCCCCGGTCGCCCCTCGCGGGCTCCCGCGCCCCGCGCGCAAGATGGCTGACCCGGCTGCGGGGCCGCCGCCGGCCGAGGGCGAGGAGAGCACCGTGCGCTTCGCCCGCAAAGGCGCCCTCCGGCAGAAGAACGTGCACGAGGTGAAGAACCACAAATTCACCGCCCGCTTCTTCAAGCAACCCACCTTCTGCAGCCACTGCACCGACTTCATCTGGTGAGGGCGCGCGGGCACCTTCCCGGCCCGAGGGCAGCGCCTCGCCGCGCCGCGCCGCGCGCGGGGATCCTCCGTGCCCCGAGGGACCAGCCGCCCCGCGGGCCCCGCGTCCCGGGTGCCCCTCTCCTACCCTCTGGCCCGGACCCCCTGGCCAGCTCCTGCCCGGGCTCCAGGGGGGCCAGCACCAGGCGCCTATGGAGCGCCCGGGCCGCGCAGAGCTGGGGTCTGTCTGTCCCTCCTGGGGAGTGCCTTCTCGCCCGTGGGCCCTATCTCGTTACCCCCTTCCGGGCTTCAGTAGCGCGCACCCCACCCCTCCTTTCCGGGGGCAGCGCCCTGGGTGCCCTCTCTCTATTTCCCTTCGGCACGGGCATCCTTTCCTCCTCCGGCGTCTCCGGGGACTGCGCCCGGTGCTGTCTCTCCTCGCGCCTCTCCGGGGGCCTGGGTTCCCCTTTCCACTCCCGAGCCCTCCCCTTCAGGCTCCGCGGGCCCCTTTCTCCCCTGCCCTTCTAGGCCCGAGGAGCCCCCTCTCCCTCCCCAGCCCCCCGGGGGGCACCGCTCCCCGGGGCTCTCTCATCCTGGATCCCACTGCGCCTTCATCTCCTCTCTTTCCCCGAGGTACTTGGGCATCTCTGCGGGCACATCTCCCGCCTCCCTCCCCCCCCCCCCCCCCGGAAACGCCACCTGGTGGTCGCAGCCTCCCCTCTTCTGCCTTCGGAGAGGAGGTGGAGGATACCTCCGAGCTCCCCGCTCCCCCTCCCTCTCTCCCTCAAAGGCGGAAGACTCTGGGGCACCGGCCTGTGGCTGGGAGTTTGCACCTGGGGTGGAGGGGCGGTAGGGGAGGGGGGAGGGGGCGACTGTGGGGAACTAGCTGGTGGTGGCTCCCCTCCAGCTGCCTGACTTGCCTCCTTCTGCCTTTGCAGGGGCTTCGGGAAGCAAGGGTTCCAGTGCCAAGGTAGGCTGTGTGCCTGGGATGCCCCCTCCCCCCCCCCTATTTTTGGAAGATACGGTGAAAAGGACTTGGTAGAAGTGACTGAGTTAGGCAGAGAGTGAAGGAATCGCTGTAGCAGGGACCTGGGATTCCTCACCACAGAGGGTCCTTTGAAGGGGCGGGTGCCTACGGGGCAGCGATGCCCCTTCCAGGAAAGGGCGCGGAGAAGGAGGCCTCACCTGCCTAGGCATGCACCCTCCTTCTCCCTTCCCAGCTGCAGGAGCGTCTAACCGGGTCTATTGACTCTACCCTCCAGGCTGCTTCTGGAGGCCCCTCCCCCTCACTCCTGCTCACTGTGCTTCCTCTTCTCACGGAGTGAGTTCTGCCTCTTCCCCTGCCTCGCGCAGGCCTCCGCGGGCTGCCACTCTGCGGAGGTGCCGTCCTGTAGAGGTGATGGCGGGCGTGGCCTCCTGGGCCTCCCGAAGGAGGTGGCCCAGGTGGGGTGCCTCTCAGATCTTGGTTTAAGTCACCCCTTCTATATTCTGGTGAGACGTGGGGGGGCTCTAAGTGACTGCTCACCTGGGTCCTTACATCCGGTTTGACATCCTTGACCCAAGCCAGGGAGGCCCAACTTGGCAGGTCTGTTAATTATGTGCATGTGGCCTCAGTGGTCACTGGTTGCAGATTCGCTCCCTGGGGCCACGTCACCTAGACATGTCGAGACCTTAGGTTGTCGACCATTTTTTGAATTTGATGTCAGCATTTTAGAGCTGGGAGATTTCACATACATCTCTGAATTTCCACCTTCAAGTGTGCTGAGACTTGGCCCCCTCTCTCCAGTTACAACAGTCATTTGGACTGAGATGGCTGTCTGCGCATTCATCACGTTGTCTCTGTTGATGCCCTGCAGGCATGCTTCACCCATCTCTGGCCTCCGGAAGCATTTGAGTTTGTAACTTCCAGCTGGGCTAGGTGTGGTTGAATTTGGTGAGAGGAAAGTATTTAAGTGTTAAAGAGCAGGAGATGTGATGTGGTCCTGATTGACAGTTTGGTTGTATCACCTCCACCCTCCAGGGAAAAGTAAAGTGATCCCTGTGCGTGTTGGTGGCATTGTCAGTTGCTCAGAATGCTGGCAGCATGGCCCTGCTGTCTTCTGAGACTCCTGTGTCCCTTCACCTGAGATCTGGGGCAGGGCTGGCTCAGCGCTTGACCCTTGTAGACTCCCCCTCCCCCCAGCCTCTCTTACAAGACTGTGACCCCTAGTTTCGTGGACTGCACGGGAGCACTTCCCAAGTCCCAACAACTGAGGTACTAGTGCAAACAGCTGGGCTGTTTTCTAGAACTTTGGCCCCTCAAGCAAAACCCCTACGTTGGTGCCGGAATGCATAGAAGATCTTCACTTCCATGAGTCGGTTTCTGTCTGTCTCCTGCTGAGGTCACGGGGGACTGGAACTTTTACTGCTACTATCCTGTCCCACCTGCTCTGCAGTTATTCAAGGTTGGCAAGATCAGAATGTCCAGGTGAGGACACACCTGCCGCAGGAGTAGATGGTAGGAATTCCCTGGTGTGGAGAGTGAAGCAGGATTAAGGTTTCCAATGAAATATGGCTGCGTCCCAGTAGGAGTGCCTTTTTCCCTTGCCTTCCGTTTCCTCTTCTCCTTGAGAGGCATCGTAGGGTAGTGGGCATATGCACAGGGTACCGGCAGGTCGCTGTGAGTTTGAATCCCTGCCATGTTATTTAGTTTCTCTGCACCTCCAGTTCTTCATCTCTAAAATGGGTCCAATAACAGGATCCACCCTAAAATGTTGCCGAGTGGCTCAAAGTGGTTGCAACATATAAGATGCTTGGGCAGCTCCTGAAATTGAGATGCTCAGTGTGGGGACATTCCGGAAGGGTGGACATTACCCTCAGCTGTGCTCAGAGTTGCCTGGGACTAATTTGCGCACCAGAAAGCACTTCCTTACCTGGGTATTGTTGGTACCACATATTTCCTCTTAAAGTGAATCTAATGTATAGAAAACAAGTGTGACTATTCTCACCCCGAAGTCAGGCGTCCAGAGCCCAGGGCCCTAGGTTCCTTTCGGTTTTCTGCTCCACCGTCCCGGGAGGGACAGAGATCTCATGGTCCAAGAAGGATGCTAGACTATGCGGTCAGCACATCCTTATTTAGTCCGCAGGAAGGAAAGGGGAGAGAAAGGCACGGTTGCTGTGGAAGTTGCCACGGGTACTTCTGCCTCTGTGCCTTTGGTTAGAATTGAATGGCATACCCACACCCTGCTGCAAAGGAGTGTGCGTTAATTTCAGGTAGCCTTGTTCCCTGCTAGAAGTCAAGGTGTGTGTGAGTGGGGTGTTTCATTCAAAGCAGAAGGGGAGAGAGGATACCGTCTCTGCCATTCTTGGCTAGGAGGTGTGTAGGGTGATCCTAAGGCAAGGAAACCACTGAGCCCCCATGGTCCATTGTGCTGGCATGGAAGTTGGGGAGGCAGGGATGGGTGGGAGGAGCTTAAGATGAGACTTCCTTGTTCTGTACTGCCAGGGGACAGAACTCTAGCGTGGCTGCCCCATAACCTCCCCCTTTGTGTTCCCACTCTGCTTTTTAGTTGAAGGGGTAGGGTTAGGGTGTCCCTGGTGGCAGGGGACTGGGGCTCAGAATCCTTATTATGAAACTGCCTCAGTTCTGGGTTAGAAGGGGGGCCCGTCAGGCAAGCAGAGCTCTCTCTATGGCGTTCTTTAGAGGCGCCTGGGAGCTGCATCTGTGCTTTAATTGTAATGAAGACGAGCCTTTGGGTAGAATTAGACTCTTCCTCCAAGAAGTTTTTGCACTTTAGTGGAGAGTTTATTTTTTTAAGGAAGTCAGTTCAGTAGAAATAGGAAGGCAATAAAATGCAGAGGTTCAGAATTCGTAGCGTGGGGTTGGAGTGAGATCCAACTGGGTCGGCTCTCTGCTGTGCCCCCTCCTCGCTGTGTGACCTTGGGGACGCCCACTTGTAGGGCCTCACTTCTCCCCTGGGACAGTTGTCCAGCGACACCGACCTACAGGGTCCTGGCCAGGAGTGCCGAGGGGTTGCGAGAGGAATGTTCACACCAAGGTCCCGTGACTCTGAGTGAGATGCTCATTATTACTTGATTAGCGGCAGGAAACCGTGGGACACAGTTATTCTGGACTCATTAGATGACTGTGCCTCCTGCGTGTATGCAGATGGGCTTTCTTCTCAGGTCTGTTTCTCCACGGGCTCTGGGTCACACCAGGGAGTGCGCAGCTCAGGTTTGGGCCCAGACAGCCAGGCTTGTAAAGAGCATGTTTTCTCACCCCTGTCCTTGTGAGAAAGATCTAAACTTGCCATGGCCCCCGTAGAAAACCCCCGTGCACTAATTTTATGGCTGTGAAGACACTGGTGATTAGAATGAGTAAACCGGCTCTTCCCTTTCCTGTGTCGACTAGAACACATGTTTTTAAGCATTCTAATAGAAATTATTCTTAAAAAAACCCGATGGATTGCACGAACCCAACCATTGCTATTTCACCATCAGCTCTATAGCATACAAGTTCATTTTTTGTCTCTAGTTAACATACTGATTAGAATATGCACTTTTAGAAAAACATCCATCAAAGATGAATCAAAAGGTTCATTTTACTTTCGGCATCACTTTTTCCATTTGTAATATGATATTCTGCATGTCAGGTTGAATTTTCTCAACACAGTCATAAAGAGAGTGTGGTGGTGTGTGCATGTGTGTGCGTATGCATGTGTGCGTGTGCGTATGCATGTGTGCAACCACCACGCCAGGTTTCACGTTACTGGAGCTTGCTTCAGTTATGCCTCCTCTCTGCGTCCCCCGAGCAGAGCCCAGAGGCCTGTGCGTGAAGCTCCGCTCACCTTCGGCTTACTCCCAGTGTGTCCCGGGGGATCTGCGTGGATGAAAGCCTGTCTGATGGCCTGACTTTCTGATTTTTCCACCTGGAGTGGGATTTCAGGCCCAAAGCCTGAGGTGAAATAAAAATCTGTGGTGGCGTACTGTTGGGTCTCACAAAGGAGGCCGGCTTGCGGGGAGGCAGCAGTTAATTCATTGTGAGCTGCAGCGCACGCGGGGAAAGCCTGGAGCTTTGTCACTGGGCAACAGCTGTCCTTCCTAAGTAAATATGGAAAATATGACCTTTGAAAATCTAGTTGATGTAACATGTTTCTTCGAAAGTTAATTAAAAAACATTGTTTCCGAGCACAGAGGATACTCTAGTCTAGGTGCTGCCCAGAGCCATCGACAGCGTTTATGATGTATAAGGGTCAACAGAGAAAAAGATAGAGAGGAGGTAGTGGGCCAAAAGATAACTGGAGGTTTGAAAATAACTTGTACACATTCTTGCTGTAGGGGTTTCTCTTCCTTCTCTGCCTGTCCTCCTGTATCCACTAACCCCACCCGTGCCACACACACACACACACACACACACACACACACACACACAAATAGATCAAAGTGTCACAGTTTTGAGAATATGCATCTTCTTTGGATGCTTTTTTGTTACAGGTTGTTAAATTACTAAATACAATTTAAAATCTTGTCTCTGTTCTTTTTTTGGACTGCAGTCCAGTGAATTTGGGGTCGGTAGGGAGGTCAGCTGAAAAGCTCATCGTGTATGGCTGATGCATTCAAAAGCTTTGTCTCTTATCATTTTGGCATTTGATCTAATACCATGGATTATTTGACTTCACTCATCCAGCTCCAAATTGGAATTGTGTGATATTCCATAGATTGACTGCTGGGCTTTTTATAGAGTATGTAAATTCCAGTGTTTACTTATGGCATTCAGAGGTGCGATGGCTACTTGAAAATCTGATGGAAATTTATATACTTACCACATATAACTCTTCCTCCCCTTTCCTTCCTCCCTTCCTCCCTTCCTTCCTGAAAGCATTCATTAAGTTCTATGTGTCAAGCACTATTTTAATGGTGAGAAAACAATGCTGAATGACATCCTTATTGTCATGGAGTTTACAGTGTAATGGGGAGATAAGACATCCTACA